TAAAATGCCAAGGACAAAAGACAAAGCGAGAATACTAAAAGCAGCAAGATAAAAACAGTCACCTATAAGGGAGTACCCATTCGACTGTCAGCTGATTTCTCAACAGAAAGTATGCAGGCCAGAAGGGAGTAGCAAGAAATATTCAAAGTAATGAATAGCAAGAACCTACAACCAAGATTACTCTACCCAGCAAAGCTATCACTCAGAATTGAAGGTCAGATAAACAGCTTCACAGATAAGAAAAAGCTAAACCAGTTAATCACTGCCAAACCAGTATTATATGAAATGCTGAAGGGTATTCTTTAAGAAGAGGAAGAATAAACAACAAGTGTTGGAGAGGATGTGGAGTAAAAGGAACCCTTCTGCACTGCTGGTGGGAATGCAGAATGGTGCAGTCACTGTGGAGAACAGTTTGGAGTTCCCTCAAAATATTTTTTAAAATCTGTCGAACAGAATAAACTGGTGAATAGAATAGAATCAGGGGCATAGAAAGGGAGTGGACTGATAATTCTTGGAGGAAGGGGGTGTGAGGGGTGCGGGAAGAGAGTGGACAAAAATTGTACACATATGGACAAGGACAGTGGCAGGGGGTAAGGGCAGGGGGTGAGGTGGGAACCGAGTGGAGGGGAGCTATGGGGGAAAAAAAGAGGAACAACTGTAATAATCTGAACAATAAAGATTTATTTTAAAAAATAAAAACTGAGTTCCTTTTCATTTTCAGAAGAACTAGTTCTGCTGCTAAACAAAGATGTCTCAAAACTGGTGTAGAGGGAATGATATGGAACCGCATACAATTTGGTAGTGAGAAGCGGGAAACACATTTTCTGCTGGGCACCATGAGCTCACAGGTTGTCTCATTTAATCCTCACAACTGCCCTTGTTGCCCCATTATCCTCAATTTACAGATGAGGGCACTCAACTTTGGAAATAAGGAACTGGCTCAAGGTTACATGGCTAGTCAGTGGCAGAATCGAGACAGCACATCCAGCTGTGATCTGCAGTTCTTGTGTTTTTCAGTCCCGTCTGACAATCATTTCATGACCATCGACTCTGAGGCACTAGACTGGGCTCTGAGAATACAAGTGTGCAGAAAAGAGTCTCTGCTCGTTGACTTGAGTGTGCTTGGGGAGATGGACACACAGGAAACAGGCTGTTTAATTCTGCGTGACAGTGACTTCCTGAGAAACAGTGACAAGAGCTATGGGGGAAAAGCACAGGATGCTCTAGGAACCCAGACTGGGCCATCAGGGACTGCTTGCCAGGGGCAGTAGTATCTCCCCAAGCATGAAGGGTGAGGAGGATTATCCTGGAGAGAGTGAGGCAAGCACCTTCCAGACAGAAGACAAGCAGAAAGGCTGGAAAATTGAAAAACACAAAATCTTTAGGGAGTGTACAGCTGGAGCCCAGAAGGGACAGAGGTGAAGCTGGCAAGCTAAGTACGGGCTAGATCCTGAAGAGTCCTGGAGGCCATGCTTGAGTTTGGGTTCAATCCTGTGGCCACATTCAGACATTGAAGGCTTTTTAAGTAGTGGCCACAGGTGGAGAGAAGTGGATGGTTTGAGCTACTTGGGAGGTAGCATGGCCAGGACTCAGTGATGGGTGGGGAGAATGAGATGAGTCTTGAAAACAACCCTGACAACCACCTTTCTGCCACAGCGGCTACAATGACCAATTGTTCACTGTGCTGAACCTTTTCTGCGCATCACTCCATTTCATCCTCGCAATAATCTGAGTTAGGTTCTACTGTTCTTCTCATTTTATTGATGAAGAAACTGAGGCTTGAAGGTTAAGTGATTTGCCCAAGGTCATACAGCAAGGGTGGCAGAGCCAGGTTTCAAACTGAGGTCCAAGTCCAAGACCCACTGCTCCCGATCACCACGATGCATTTCTCCCAAGATGGCACCCAGGTTCTGATTCAGGCAGCTGGGTGGATAGTGGTGCACCCAACTAAACAGACAATGGAGGAGGAGGAGCAGGCCTCTTGGAGAAAGATAAGCTGTTCTGGACGTGCTGAGTTTGAGTACCTGTGGATTGCTGTGAGGAGGTGCCTGGTAGCAGTAGTGGACATCATCGTAAAGTGCAAGGAGGAAACAAGTGGCCAGACCATACGGGGAGGCAACTCTATCTAAATGGATTCTCTTTCCCAGGGATGTGTCCTCAAGCAGGAAGGTTGGATAGAAGAAGAGGAGCTCACAAAGGCGACAGAAAAGAGGGCAGAGAGGAAGGTGGAAAACGTGAATTTGGCATTCCCAATGTCCTTTCCTGTACCCCCTCAACTGAGAATGAAGGTGCCAAAGAAAAGAATGTTTGAAGAGGAGAACAAACACAAAATATGAGATGTTGCCTAGTGGACAAAGAAGATCGAACAGGAAAATGTGACTATTTGGCAACAAAGAAGTCACTGGTAGCTCTCTGGTGGGGTGGGGTTAGAAAAGAGGTTGTAGTGAGATGGGAGAAGTAAAGACAGTGAATACAGAGAATATTTTTCAAGAGATTTGGCTATGATGAGAGGAAAGAGATGAGTGGGGTGAGACAGGCTGTATGCTCAAGAAACAGTTTGGCCGAAACCGGTTTGGCTCAGTGGATGGAGCGTCGGCTTGCGGACTGGGGGGTCCCAGGTTCGATTCCGGCAAGGGCATGTGCGTGGGTTGCGGGCGCATCCCCACTAGGAGATGTGCAGGGGGCACCTGATCGATGTTTCTAACTTTCTATATCTCTCACTTCCTCTCTGTAAAAAATCAATAAAATGTTTTAAAAAAAAAAAAAAAAAAAAAAAAAAGAAACAGTTTGCTTTCAAAAAAGAGTACTGGGGGAACTCTTCCCCCTCCCCATGTGGGAATCTGTACTTGTTCTTCAATAAATTTCCACCTTTGCTATACCAAAAAAAAAAAAAAAAAAGAGTACTGGGCACAGCAGAATGCTGATGGGAAAGAGCCCAGAGGAGAGGCTGCGGGTGCAGGACAGGAAGTCGATGGTAGCCTGAAGAGGCAAGAAAGGACTGCATGGGCCTTAGCTAGGAAAAAGGGTAACTCATCCTCATGATAAGTTACCCTGGGGCAGTAAGATGTTGAGAGCATGCCTGTCCACTGGCCTTGGTGAAACAGAAAATAAGGTTATTTGCCAAAAAATAAGGTGTGGGTGGGGAAAACCTGGAAGTTAGAGAAGAATGGAGGTCTGATAAAGGGGCTATGATAAATGAAGTGATCAGAAGAAAACCAGAGGCCTGCTAGGCAATATAGGGGCTCAGGCAAGTGGGAGACCATGCAGCCCTGGTGCCACAGAGAGATTCGAGTCAGTGCTCTCCTTGAGAATAGAAGGAAAGAGATGGATTGGGTTCAAACCCAGGGCTACGGTTTTCCTGAGTGAATGTTAATGGAAGGGCAATGGGACAAGAAATTGAGAGTATCGGTAAGAGAGTGAGTAAATGGTCTCACCTGGTCTGGAAAGGGGAGAATAGGGTACGCAATAATCTTCAGTGGATAAAGAGGAGTGGCTGGGAGACTGCAGATGACAAAGGCAGGGGTCAATTCCAAAGGAGCAGGGGAGACAGTCATGGTCTGGAAATGATCTAAGGAGACAGAAACTCACTTGGCTTTATTTGTCTCCTGTGGCAGGACAGAATGAGCACTCTATTGGATGACTACTAGGGAAAGCTGTGTTTTCGGTGAATAGCCAGGTTGTAAGGCTAGGGGATAGGTGGAAGGAAATGGGGAGGAGGCTCATGTATAAAAAGATAATGGCCATGATGGCCTATCACATGGCATTGCAACTGGCTGCTTCCACTGTATCCTGGTCTCTACTGTGCAGTGAGTTTTTGAGTAAGTGACTAGTGTGTGATAAATGGCAGACTAGAGGGATACGCAAGGTATAGCAGGAGTACAGTGGGAGAAGTTACCTGAGCAAGGCTGCAAAAGAGGAGACATCTGAACTGACCTTGGAAGGAAGTTGTCAGGGGAGAGAAGAGAGCATTATTGGTGAAGAAAAAAGAATGTGTGGCACACAGATTTATGAAAAGCACACGAGGCCTAGGAACTGCAAAATGTGCCCACTGATACCTAACTGTCTTAAGAGGCCAGGAAAGGTCAAAGAGGCCGGGCTGCCCACAGGACACTTCTGGCCAGGCGGTGCTGGATGGGAGGGAAAAAGTGCTGACCATGTTCTGAAGACAATGGTGGGCCACTACTTCAGGGTGCAGGACAAAGGTCCTGGTTTGTCCTTTGGGTTGGAAAAAGATGGAGAACCACTGTTGCTTTCCAGAATACCAGGGCTGTTTGACCACCCAGGACCTGGAGCCAGCTGGATGTCAAACCCAATCTCCTCAACTGCTGGGCTCTCAAGTATGGCACTGTGCAGATGCAGCCGGGAGTAGGCAGGCAAAAAGGTAATGAGGTGGCAGGGGACCAGCCATCAAGCCCTAGGGCTCGCCTGGCATCAGGGCTGCCCGGGAAAAACTCACTGGCCTTAGCTTAGGTCATTCCCATGGCTTCAATTACATCTCCACGTTGGCAACTCCCAGCCCCACACCTCCGTCTCCACTTGGATGTCTCGTGAGAACCTCTGAGTCAACATGCCCCAGCTGAATTCCTGTCTTCTGCCAATCCCATGCTTGCTCAGTGAAAGGCACATCATTCTACCAGTCACCTAAGCAAACACTTGGGAAACATCCCTAACTCCTTTATCTGTCTTGTAATCAAATCACCAAAGCCTGTCACTTCTGCTTCCTCTGAAAATACACCTCTCGTCCAGTCCCACCATCAATCCTCTGTACTCCGGCTCTCGGCTTTCTGGTCTGGAGTATCACTTCACCAGGCTATCTTCCATACTGCCACACAATAATCTTGGAATACAGAATCAACCAAGTGCATTCTTGATTAAAGCCCTCCAGTGACTCTCCTCAGCTGCAGGATCAAGTCAAAGCTCTTCAGCAGGGCCCACAGGCCCTTCCTCACCTCCACTGCCTGTCCTTCCTCTCCGGTTTGAGCCCTGGCTGCACTACTGCTGTGAAAGTGTTATGCCCGCTGCCAGGAGGGCGCTCCTGATGAGTTTGTATTCACTCCCTGTGACTCAGTTCCAGAGTCAGCCTCTTGGTATGGCCATTTCCAGCAAGCCCTAGCAGGATTGGGGGCTTCCCTCATCCCAGTATGTGTCACACACTAACATGCTCGTCAAGTTTTGTGCCAGTCTCTCCAATGGACCGAACTTCTCCAGGGTAAGAACTTAACAAATGCTTTGGGGTTTTTTGTGTGTGTGTGGGGGGGTGTTTTTTGCAGCATTTACAGTGTTTACGGAATGATTGAGTGACTGACTAAAGCAAGTCCTGGGCTTGAAGGAATCCAGCAAGCTGCTTCTGAGGCCAGGACTCATTTGTCCTCCAATCACTGGCCCCCAGTCTCCCTGACCCTGATGCCTCCCAAACTCATTCAGACCTTCCCAGAGCAGTGAGCCACACCAAGGTCCGTGGCAGCCAGCAGCATTCATGCCCCGGAAGTCCTGGGGGTTGGGGCAAGGCATTCCTCAGGAAGAAGAGGTGATAGAGCTGGGTTCCCCCCCCACACCCACCTTCTTTTTCAGCTTGTGCCGGGCCCGCTTGGCGGCCCTGGCGCTGTTGGGGACTTTGGGCTCCGTGCTGTTGATGAATTCCAGCAGCTCATCCACATCTCGGTGGTCCACGGCGGGCTCCCCAGGGATCCCGCCCAGGGCGCCCCCCTTCATGGGCAGCTCCTCTTTCCGCCTGGTCAGCCTTGAACGGAGCTTCTCTCGGATCTCGGTATAATTCCGACTCGTCGGGGCAGCGGGTGGCTGGGGGAGGGGGAGGTGCTGATGTTACACCCTGGGCCTGGGAAGCCCGTAGGACTCCCACCCGCTGGCACCAAACATGTGGTAAGAAGCGAGACAACTGTTCTTTCTACCAGAGCCACAGAGGCCAAATGGCTTCACCTCAGCCAGGCGGTGTGAGGAGGGAGTAGGAGATATGTGACAGCATTGGGAGCACACTGGCATGGGAGCCAGGAAAGCAGGTTTGAGCCCAGGCTTCGTCACTTGGAAGATGTATGACCTTGGGCAGGTCACTGAGTCTTGTGAGCCTCAATTTCGTCATCTTTAAAATGAGGATAACACCTAGCTGAAAGGTGACTAGCAATGTAATTACTTTCAATTCTTCTGTTCTCAACTGCTCTCCCCTAGCCGGCGGCCCCTTCCTCTTCACCTTAGAAGACTTCTGAACTGTTTCCTCCCCCTGTCCAGAGACAGCATGTATTCTGCTCTGTGCCTCCTTCCTGGCACCATCTGTGCACATGGCCTGTCCCTCAGCTGGCTCTCACACTTGGGGGACTGAGAGCCTTTGCTTCCATTCTGCCTTCATTGCACAAGTGTTCACTTCTCTATGATTATGCCATACACAAACTCATCAGAATTATAGCTTTCCTCTCTGCCATTTCCTTTCCTTTTGCCTAAGGAAAAAAAATGTCATCTTAAGAGAAACCACAAAAACAGCAAAGTTAGCAAAATGTTTAAAAAGCCCCACCTCACCAGTTTGCTGTAAGGATCAAGTGAGCAGACACAGATGCGAGGACTCACAGGTCCCAGCGAGGTTACTATCCCCTCGAGCAGGGGGTTTCTGGGGAGAGCAGGCACGCCCCTGGCTCACCCTGGCTGGCCCCGAGCCCTCTCAGGCATAGGCAGGTTCACTCACCGCATTGTGGCCGAAGAACTCACAGTAGCAGCAGTCACAGAACTTCCCATCTCTCTGGTGTGTGGAGGACGAGGTGCAGGAGCTACGCTCTGAGCTGCTGTCCTCTTCTTCACCTAGCCCCTCATCTGCCTCGCAGGGCTGGGGCAGTTGGCAGGCCAGGCCACTATGTGTAAACTTGTGCCCCTTGCACCCAGGGTCTCTGCTGATGGGGGAGAAAGACAAGGCCCAAAGGTGAGAGCGGGTGTGGCAGGAGCAGGCTACAACAGGCACCTGGAGAAGCAGCCCCGCCATCAATGTCCCCATTGCCCTTAAGCCGCCTCATCCCACAAAGGTCAAGGCAGTCAGGCTGCATCAATATCACTCATAATTACAGGGCCAACACCCTCATTGCCCTCAGGGACCAGCTCAATGGCACTGTTCTGGAAAGGTCCCCAATGCCTCTCCTGCCCACACCCACCATGTGACCCTCCCGGACTCTGATGGCCCCGATTACATCTGTCTCCATCCTACCATCTATCACACTTTATTATAGCAATCTATTTGTCTCAGATCAACTGTGCACTCTCCAAAGGCAGGGACTATGCCACTTCTATTTTTGGGTCCCAGTGTATAGCATAACAGCCTTGCACACAGTGGGTTCTCAGTAAGTAATCTGAACAGATTAGTGGGCTGGTGGCTCCCCTGGAGCATCCAAAGGAGGTTAACAGGGTAAGTCTCCTTTCACTCTATAAGATCTTATGCCTGAGTCTGCACCAGTAGGCAAAGCTGCCTTAGCCACTGGGCCTCGAGGTTGGGAAAAATGGGCCTTGTGGGCCAGACTCCAAGAACTTGTTTGTGCCAGGTACTGTATTCAACACATTATTTCTAACTAGAGGCCTGGTGCACGAATTCGTGCAAAAGTGGGGTCTGGCCGGCTGCCCTGATAGGGGTGATGGAGGCTGACTGGGGGTGGGCCGGTCAGGAGGAGGGGCTGCCAGTGGTTGGCGGCTGGCCCTGCCCCTAATGGGTGAGGGGTTGGGGGCCGATCAGGGCTGGGCCGGCCAAGGGGGGGTGCCGATCAAGACCCAGATCAGGCTGGTTGGCTGCCACAGCGCACATCATAGCCACTAGTCGTTCTGGTCATTCTGGCTGTTCCGCTGTTTCAGTTGCTGGGCTTTTATATAGATAGATAGAAAGATTACCCCCCCAAGGCACGCAAAATAGGTGTTGCAGTGGAGGAAACAGGCTGAGTGCTTCACTGCTCTGCTCATGGAGTGACCAGGACTCAGCCTGTGTCTGTGCGCGAAGTTCATGCTCTTCCACTGCACTGCTGACTATGGATTTCAGGAAGCACAGGGCATCTTATAATACAGACTGGAATCAGCAGTGGGAGCCAGGTGGAAGGAAGGGCAGGGCAAGGGGCTGGGAAGAGGTCTGGCTCCAGGGCAGGTTGGTCCCATGGGTGGAAGAGGAGGAACATGAGCTATTATCAGTGGTGCTTAGAGAAACTTAATCCAAATTGACCACTCTTCAGCTGCTACATTAGCAAAATTACAATGCTCAGTACCCCCGAGAATATGGAGAGATCAGCATTCTAATACTGGTGCCATGGCACTATGGAGAGCTTTTTGGAAAGCAGTTTTTCAGTGTATTAAAAACCCTTCTTAAAAAAACCAAAACCAGCCCTACCAAGTTTGGTTCGGTGGATAGAGTGTCAGCCTATGGACTGAAGAGTCCTGGGTTCGATTCCGGTCAAGGGCACATGCTTGGGTTGAGGGCTCTATCCCCAGTGGGGGTTGTGCAGAAGGCAGCCGATCAATGATTCTCTCTCATCATCGGTGTTTCTCTCTCTCTCCCTCTCCCTTCCTCTTTGAAATTAAAAAAAAAAAAAGGGAAAACATCCTGACATCCTTGAAACTGAGAACTTTTTTTTCATTCTGAGAGATCTATTTTTTTTAAAATATATTTTATTGATTTTTTTACAGAGAGGAAGGGAGAGGGATAGAGAGCTAGAAACATTGGTAAGAGAGAAACATCGATCAGCTGCCTCCTGCACACCCCCCACTGGGGATGTACCCGCAACCAAGGTATATGCCATTGACCGGAATCAAACCTGGGACCCTTTAGTCCGTAGGCGGACGCTCTATCCACTGAGCCAAACCGGTTAGGGCAGAGATCTATTTCAAGGAGAAAAATCCAAGTCAGAAAAAGCTTTAAGCAAAGGCATCTTTAGATATATTTTTAAATATATTTTATTGACTTTTTACAGAGAGGAAGGAAGAGGGATAGAGTTAGAAACATCGATGAGAGAGTAACATTGATCAGTTGCCTCCTGCACACCCCCTTCTGGGGATGTGCCCACAATCAAGGTACATGCCCTTGACCAGGCCCCCTGAGTCCGCAGGCCGACGCTCTATCCACTGAGCCAAACCGGTTACGGCTAGATATTACTTATAATATTAAAATGTTGCCCTAGCCAGTTTGGGTCAGTGGATAGAGTGCCGGCCTGTGAACTAAAAGGTCCCAGGTTCAATTCCGGTCAAGGGCATATGCCCGAGTTGTGGGCTCGATCCCCAGTGGGGGACTTGCAGTAGCTAGCCGATGGATGATTCTCTCTCTCCCCCTCTCCCTTACTCCCTCTAAAAATCCATGTATATTTAAAAAATAAAATACATGTTTCTCTTAACAGAGGAGGAAAGGGAGTTTTTAAAAAGCAGGTGATTTCCCATGTTATTCTTTATATAAATGAAATTGGACTAGAAATGAGGCCACTTTTTTTTTTTCAGTCCTATTCTTTTCCTAGCATAGTCCTAGTTATGAGTAACTGAAATATGGCCATAGTTTTCTCAGATTTATCCATCGGTCAGGGCACAGGCCTGGGTGGCAGGCTCGATCCCCGGTGGGGGGCGTGCAGGAGGCAGCCGATCCATGGTTCTCTCTCATCATGGATGTTTCTCTCTCTCCTTCTCTGACATCGTCAGGGCAATAAAAATATATTTTAAAAAAATATATTAAAATGTTGGGGAAGCCCTAGCCGGTTTGACTCAATGGAATCACTGATCGACGCTCAATAGAGCGTCGGCCTGTGGACTGAGGGGTCCTGGGTTCAATTCCAGTCAAAGGTCACATGCCCAGGATGTGGGCTTAATCCCCAGTGTGGGGTGTGCAGAAGGCAGTTGATCAATGACTCTCATCATAGATGTTTCTATCTCTCTCCATCTCCCTTCCTCTCTCTGAAATCAATAAAAAATATATACTAAAAAATGAAAATTAAAATGTTGGGGGGAAAAATGTGAAATGACCTAAATTTCAGTGACTAGAGAATGGTAAAGTGCACCGTGGAGAATATCCTCCCACCCGTGAAGCTGAGGCTCAGAAGACCACACAGGAGGCTAAAAATGCTAAGTGAAACCACCGACCATACAGACATCATCAACGCATGTGGAAGAGATGAGGGAAAACTGCTACAAGTGGTGGGATTTTAGAGTGGGCAACTACAAATGTATAACAAACACAGATCTGATTTATAATAAAAAATAGACATCTATCTTCTCCAAAGAACTGTATCTTTCAAATATATATTAATATAACCTTTCTCAATAACTAGAGTTACTTTAGGACTCTACCTTAAGGACACAATTCCCAACTCAAACACAGATTTGGGTGCAAGGATGCTTTTAACAGCCATGTTTATAATGGTTTAAAAACTGGAAATGCCTAAATGTCCAGGGGTAGGAAAATAAAAAAATTAAAAAATCATGCTAGAGCTATACAATGAGATATTAAGTGGCCACTGAAAAGTGTTTTGAAGAATTTTTAACTGGAGAAATCATCAATGGTATAATGTTAAAAAAAAAAAATCATTGCCCTAACCGGTTTGACTCAGTGGATAGAGCATCGGCCTGCGGACTGCAAGGCCCCAGGTTCGATTCCGGTCAAGGGCATGTACCTTGGTTGCAGGCACATCCCCAGTAGGGGGTGTGCAGGAGGCAGCTGATTGATGTTTGTCTCTCATCCATGTTCTAACTCTCTATCCGTCTCTCTTCCTCTCCGTAAAAAATCAATAAAATATATATTTTTTAAAAAATCATTATACAAAAATGTATAGTGTCCTGGCCAGGTCGCTCAGTTGGTTAGAGCATCCCAATACACCAAGGTTACGGGTTCAATCCTCAGTCAGGGCACATACTAGAATCAACCAATGAATGAATAAATGAGTGTAACAACAACTGGATGTCTCTCTCTCAAATCAAATTTTTAAAAAGTATGTCAAACAGAGACCTAATTATTCTACATAGAGAAACATCAGGGAGACTATACTGCAGCATTAGAAATTTATCTTTTGATTGAGGACATTTTTTCTTTATAGACATTTCTAAATTTTTCCAAATTTTTTTTTCTGGTTAATCCTCCATGAGGGTATTTTCCAGATTGCTTTTCAGAGAGAGTGGAAGGGAGGGAAGGAGGGGGAGAGAGGATGAGGGGAAGGGGAAGGCAGGGAGGGGGAAAGGGAGAAACATCGATGTGAGACAGAGACACTGACTGGTTGCCTCCCGCACATGACCCAATTGTGCCCCAACCTGGGGCAGGGAGTGAACCTGCAACCCAGGTACGTGCCCTTAACCGGGAATCGAACCCTCAACCCTTCAGTGTGAGGGCCAATGCTCGAGTCATGGAGCCACACCAGCCAGGGCAATTTTCCCAAGTTTTAAAAAAATAACCAATACCTATTTCTTCTATAATTGTAAAAACTATGAAAAACAACCACCATAAGCAGAGCTACCCTCTAAGTTCTGCCCCAACGGCAGCCTTGGCGAAGTTTTCCAAAACTCTACGCCCAGTCAGCAGCGAGTTTGTCTTTCAGGCCACTCACTCACCTGTGAGTGTTAAGAAGCTGCTGTGAGCCTGGTGGTGGGAGCAGAGGCCCACTGCAGTGCCCACTACAGGGGTGGCTGCACCCCGAGAAAGAAGGAGGCATCTTCAGGAGCGGCATGCTGGTGGAAGGCAGGTGGGGGCTTTGACATGCCCCTGGGGTGTGTGGGGCGGCAGCAGCAGCAACAGGGCATTCTGAAACCTGCGCAGGGAATGGTGCTGAGGGGGTGGTGGGCAGCAGGTGTGGGTGGGATGGTGAACCAAAGGATCCAGAGTGAGATGGGATCAGTGACACTGGCTGTGGATGGTGGCCAGTGGGGCTGTTGGGTGGAGCAGTGAGGTCTGAGTGCCGGCGGTGCTCCGAGATGGGGAAAACCTCACCTGTGGGCACATGGGGGAGAAAGGTGTCAGAGTAGGGGCCCAGACCCCTGGGAGGAAAGCCCAAGGACCCGCTGCCCCAGCACCCTGCTTACTGCAAACAGAGGGACATTTGGGCACAGTACCTCAGCACAGTAGACCCATGAGCTTTTGGGAATGTCTAGCAGTGCTACCTTGGGCTGGAGAGGTTTCTCTGCAGGCAGCAGCTCAGCTGGACAAGCTTGAGAAGCCCAGGCCTGAGGGAGAAGGCATCAGGGATGCCAGCCCCTTGGAAAGCCATACACCTCTACTGTGGCACAAGCAGGGAAACATATTCTGTCTGTCAGGGTCTCTCTAAGACCTGCTTGCTAGGTACTCCTCAGACCCAGGGCAGGATCTGCAGGAGCCAGCAGAGCAGCAGGCTGAGATTCTGTCTCTGGGTCATGAAGAGTGAGACTCTTCGGTGGCCCCAGATTTCAGAGAAGTAAAAAAAGGCTTTCATGACTTTGGTTTATGCACCAAAATAACTGGAAATATGTACTGCTCAACTCTCACAGTTGAGGGGACAGCACCCCTCTGAAGAACTCAGCCCCTCCACTTACAAATAGACAGCAATTCTGTATTTACACAGTACATCAATAAGCCATGATTTTTTTTCTTTTGGTCTCTGAGGATTACCTCAGGGTCTAAAGAAGGCACACAGGGCTACAAAATAGGCTAATAATCATGGCAGCTTGCAGTGTCATCCTCTTGTGGATAGAAGTGGGGCCTTTTATACCCACCCCATAGGTGGAGAAAAGGGAGCCTAAGAAGACAAAGGCACCCAAGTCCTCTGTGCTGCTGTAGGGGTCAGGTGTTCTGTGATTTAGGTCCTAATGCCCTAAGGGCCCTCCCAGACTCCATCAGTGCCTCCCTTCTGGCTCTAATGGGAACAGCTACCAGAGCCAATGACAGCAGTGTTTTTTATCTTCAGAGTCCTGGGGAAAGGAGTGCCTCCCTGCTTCCACTAGAATAGCTCTACATTTACTTAATTTAATAACTGATCTTCTGGTTTGTTTGAACAAAGTGGTTAGGAAAACACAGCTGTCTACACTTCTGAAGCCTGTCTCTTTCCCGAGCTGGGACACTCACCGGGGATGGAAGGAGGACTCCCAAGTGAGCTGCCTGGAACAGTCCCGCTGGAGTGTGGGGAGTTCCAGAGGCCCGAGAGCTTATGTGCTGACAGGAACGAGCTGGGATCCCAGTCCCCTGAGTTTCCATGGCAGGATGAGGACGAGGATGAGGATGACGAAGAGGATGACGAAGAGGAATGAGAGTCACCCCCACAAGACTGTGATTTGCAGGATGTGTGTGACAAGGATATCTGGAGAAGAAGTAAGAAAGAGGCTCATGATGAAACAGCAAACATCAGAGCCAATCCTTGGCTGCCTAAGCTTACCCAGGAGAGCTTTCTCCTCTCGGCCAAAGCACAATCCCCACAACTCCAGGTGCAAGGGCAAATGTGGGCCAAGTTGCTCCCAGTGGGCTGTGCCGCTCCCAGTGAAGTAAAGTGTGTGGATGATGGTGAGAGACTTGGGGGGAGGAGAGGGATCACAGAGAATGCCTGTCAACTGTGGGCCTTTGGGGAGTCCAGAGAGCTCCCAAGGAGAGAAGGGTCTGTAAGTCAGGAGTCCTGGTAAAAGAGAGGGGCTGGAGGGGAACAAGAAACAAGGATGGTCTGATTGCTGATTCAGGAGATTGTAGACTTAGATGGCTCCCAGCACCTTGGAGGCCTTCTGAGGCACACCATAGACCCTCAAACTGACTTTTGCCCTCTATGCCATACTGGTTGGCTTTCAAGCTGCCACAGTACTGAAGGCAGCATGGCCACATGTAAGGAGTAGAGGTCCCTATCTATAATTCCTATGAGCTGTCCCTCACATTTTACCCAGACTCTCCTCAGGGGCCAGTGGGCTGCCTTACGCCTCTCTTCTTCCCCCGCCATGTGACCCTAAGCCACTAATGCTGTGTGGGTACAGCCCAGCGGTCTCTCAGCACCTGGGCATAAGGGCCATCCGAGGAAAGCCACCTGAGAGGACAGGGAAGGAACAGTTCAACAGCCTGACTTCTTTGGGCAGGCAGCCCTCCTGATTCAGGAGCCCCTTCACAGTGGTTACCTACCGCCACTGCATGCTCTCGACCTGTCTGCCTTTCATCTTCCTCCATGCTCCTTCGGCAACTCTGGCAGACCCATAGAGGCATCTCTCCTAGGAGATTCTTGACGAGCTTTGGCATGAAGTCAGGGGGCAGCTTCTCACCCTGCAACACCAGTCCATTTTGGGAAGGGCCTTCTTCCCAGCCTTTGCGTTCCCGATGACACAGCAAGCAACAAGTCTGCACAGACTGGCTGGAGGAGGGGGGAACCTGTCCAAAAGACAGAAACAGGGTTTCCCAGGAGGGGAAAGGCTGCTTAGAAATAGCAATACTAATAATGTCACTTATTATGTGCCATGCACTGGATTAGGCACTTTACATAATTTTAGCCATTGTAAAAGCTCTGCAAAGTAGGTGTTATTATTCCCATTTTTTAAAGATGAAGAGACAGATTTTAAGAAGTTAAGTAAGTTGCCAAATGTTGCAGAGCTAGTGAGTGGTTGAACTAGGATTTAAATCTCAGCGAGAGTGACTCCAAAGCTCATGCTCAAATGCCTAATGTTCCAATGTCCCCAAGTCTTGAAGTTTAAAGAGAAGATGGCCCTTCCTTGTCTGAGATGTCCGTGAGAGGCCACAATCCTTGTGTTGTCTGTGCAGTCTACACACAAATCCCATCTGGAAGGAAAGAATATTTCAGGTAATGCAACATGTGGAAAGACATGTGGGTTTCCTGAAGAGCTATGTAATTCCATTAGGATCACAGCAGCATTTTGGAGGAACGGTTTGTATAGCTAGCTAGTCAAAGGCATCAACTGAATTGAAAACTGAGTTGGAGGGAAGGTAAGGCAGACACCTGGTGCTTCTGAGAGGCAAAGGTGTGGTGAAAAGAACCTGGGCTTTGGAGGTCAGACCGACATGTACTCTAACACCTGCCTGACCACATGAGCTGGGTGACCTTGGGCAAGTTATTTAACCTCTCAAGCTCCAGTTCCTACCCACCTTGCAGAGCTGTGTGGCTCAATGCATAAAAAGGGTAGGTGCCTACCCCTGTGCATGCCCATAGGAGAGTCCCAATACATAGTAATTCTTATCTGGACTTTTCTTTTTCCCTTCTAGGAGAACTTGACATATGTATATAGGTTTTCTTTCACATTGAGGGGTACTGACTAGGAGGCTAATTGGATTTAATGACTCTAATTAATGGCTTTCCTATGTCCTACAACTTTGTAGTCCCCTCTCACTCTGGCACTGGGCGTGGTCATGTCACTTTCTTTGGCCCACAGGATATTAGCAAATGTGCTGTCCGCATAAGCTTGAAAAAATGAATGCATTGTTTCCTTGCATGGCTGGGCTTGCTCACTCTTGCACCTCTGCCATGTCATGAGCATGATCAGGCTAGCTGTTGGAGGGACATGAGGGACGTGTGAAGAAAACTGAGTCTTTCTAGACAATTGGCTGACAGATCAGATACATGAGTGAACACAGCTGAGATCAGCCAAGCCGGCTCCAATCTGCAGAAATACCCAGTTAACCCATCTATACATGAGAAGTAATAGATGCTGCTGCTTTAAGCCACTATGTTTTGGGATGGTTTGTTACATGCAACTGTTAACAGATAACCTTCCAAACGTACCGACCACTAGGTAACAGGTGTTTGCAGAGGCCAAGCAGAGGAATAATAAAGGTTATCATTCTCAACCTACCAGTAAAATTAATGCCATCATCTTTTTCTTTTTAAAATATATTTTTATTGATTTCAGAGCAGAACACAGAGGGAGAGAGGGATAGAAACATCAATGATGAGAGAGAATCATTGATTGGCTGCCTCCTGCATGCCCCACATGGGATTGAGCCCACAACCCGGCACATGCCCTGACCGGGAATCGAACCATGACCTTCTGGTGCATAGGTCAACGCTCAACCACTAACATGTCGGCTGGACAATGCTATCATCTTTTTTTCAAATAAAATCACCTTCTAAGAGTCAGATGGAATCAGAGTACCCTTAAATCTGTCACATTACAATTACGCTGACTTTGGTCCCTGATTTCTAGGGAAGAAAAGGGACCAAACAGTAGTACCAGGGACATAAGGAAACATTTGAGGAAGTACAAGGACCTTTGAAAAGAGTACCAGAGACACAGAAACCTTACATGTGCAACTCATATGAGATATTAAGAGCCTACACCAGTGATGGCAAACCTTTTGAGCTTGGCGTGTCAGCATTTTGAAAAATCGTAACTTAACTCTGGTGCCGTGTCACATAGAGAAATTTTTTGATATTGCAACCACAGTAAAACAAAGATTTATACTTTTGATATTTATTTTACATATTTAAATACCATTTAACAAAGAAAAATCAACCAAAAACATGAGT